CCAGGCGCTGTCTCATCTTGGGAACAGCCGAAGTTCCTTCCTAAAGCCGACCGCTGGTTGGGTTTTCGGATCAGGCATGGTGAAGGAGCAAGCCAAGACACACAGGAAGGCCTGGGAAGGGCATGAGGAAGAGGAGGAAAGTGGTGAAGGCAATCCACAGGCCAGGTCCCATCGTCGTGTGGAAGCAGCCTTCCACTGCCGGACACGAGAAAACATCTCCGTCAAGCAGAGAGCACGGCAGGAGCTGCACCTCTACTACATCGTGAGTGCCCAGCCTGCTGCATCTTCCTGCCTCTGGGGACACCCGCTCCTCATTCTCTAACCCAAGCCTTTCCCCATCCCCAGCCAGCGAGGGAGGGGATGTTCCACCGTGGCTCCGGGCTGAACCTGACCAGCGGGCAGTACACAGCCCCCGTTGCGGGCTTCTACACCTTCACTGCCACACTGCACATCGGTGAGCCCTTGAACACCCCGCACAGACCTGCCAGGGAGGGCCAGGACGGCTCTCATTCTCCCCTCTGTCCCAGTGCACAGAGAGCAGCAGAGGAAGGGGCAGCCGTGCAGGGGGAATCGTCTGCGGGTGCTGATCTGCGTGCAGTCCCACTGCCAGCACAACAGGTAGGGCAGGGCAAAGCCGGGAGGGAAGAGGGACCCTGGGCCAGGGAGGGAGGAGGGAGTCCAGCATCCCCAGGGGGAGGAGGGACACGTTCTCCCCAGCACCACCCTCCCTCTTCTGCAGCAATTTGGAGACCGTGTCCTGGCTGGAGAGCGGTGGTGACCTGTTCACCATCTCCGTCACTGGAGTCCTTTACCTGCAGGTTAGTGGCGCCAGCTCTGCTCGGGACTGCCAGGCAGGAAGGTGCATTTTGTGGCCCCAGCTCCCAGGCTGGACTCCAACGCGAGTCTATTTCTCAGCCCACCTCTGAGCCCAAAGGACACTCGGGGCTGAGGTCTGCTGGGACGCTACGGCACATACCACAGCCGGGCTGCCCTACCAGCCTCCGTGTTGTCCTTTTCCTAGAAGGAAGGGGGGTGAGCAGCCCCTCCAGCTCTCAACTGCTGCACGCAGCGGAGAGCTCTCTCCTTCACTCTGCCAGGCTGTGCCCAGTGCCCGCGGGAGGGGGCCCAGCCCCGTTAAGCCCTCTCTTTCTCCAGGCTGGGCAGTATGCCTCTGTTTTCGTGGACAACGCTGCAGGCTCTCCCCTCACCATTCAAAGCGGCTCTGATTTCAGCGCCATTCTGCTGGGGGTGTGAAAAGGTACTGGGCACCACAGAGGGAGCAGAACCTGTGCCAGGAGCAGTGTGACCCTTCCCTCTGCCAGCCACCATCACACCTCCCCTGCTCAGCACCAAGCCCAGGGAAGACCTTTCACTGCTGCAGGGGCTGCAGACTGGTCCAATACTGCACGTGCTGCAGAACCATCTGAACCTGGACAAAAAAATTGAGGAGAAAAAGATAATAAATAAATAAATAATGATGATGAAGCCTGACAAGGAGCTAAAGGAGTTCATTTTTATCTAAAGGCTAAGACTGGAAGTTTATCTTGGAAAACGCTGCTGACAACAGCAGCAGCTGGCTGCTTTCTCTGCAGGGCTCAGCTCCCGCTGTGCCGGGTGCTGGTGCCTGGGACGAAGCCCCACGCCTCTATATTCACCCTCAGCAGATTTCCCTGCCCAGCTTCTCAGCAGCCCAAAACAGATTATTTGTATCGCTTTAGCTTCCATGCACCATATTAACAAAGAATGCTTGCTGGCAGAAGCCAACGTCATTTGTAGCTAATATCTTCAAAGCAGAGCAGTGTCCCGATAATGCTGCACATTTGATTACAGCAAATTCCCATCCCTTGGCTTTTCACACCAGGCGTTCCCTGCCCGTGGCACAGGGCCCAGGCCATGGGCAGCGCAGATACGCTCCTTGCTTCGGCTCCGATAGCTGTCTGAGCTGAGGATGCGCACGGGGCTACGTGCCTGAGCGAGGGCTGCAGGAGAGGTACCCAGGCAGGCTGGGCGTGGGGCAAGGGAGCCGCACGTTTTATTTCTTAGTAGCACGTAGCACTGGGCAAGCTGTGCCAGCAGCACCGTGAGATAGCCTGAACTGCACCCAGCCCCACCTTCCCCCTGGGATCCGCACACGTAGGCAGGGGGGAGGCAGTCTCCTTATGCTGGACTTCACTTGTGAGGGCTTTGCTGGCCCTGCCTGGCCTTCTTCAGAGATTGCATCTCCTCGAGGAGCCTGGTGGCGAGAGTCCAGCGGAGGGCTGTGAGGATGAGGGGCCTGGAGTATCTCTCGTATGAGGAAAGGCTGAGAGAGCTGGGGCTGGTTAGCCTGGAGGAGAGAAGACTGAGAGGGGATCGCATCAACATTTATCAATATCTAAAGGGTGGGTGTCTAGGGGATGGGGCCAGACTCTTCTCAGTGGTGCCCAGTGACAGGACAAGGGGCAATGGGCACAAACTGGAACACAGGAAATTCTGTCTCAATATGAAGAAAAACTTTGAGGGTGATCGAGCACTGGAACGGGCTGCCCAGAGAGGTTGTGGAGTCTCCTTCTCCAGAGAGATTCAAATCCTGCCTGGACGTGATCCTGTGCAACCTGCTCTGGGTGATCCTGCTTTGGCAGGGGGTTGGAGTGGATGATCCCCAGAGGTCCTTCCAACCCCGACCAGTCTGGGATTCTGTGAAGTAGCTGTTGCTGCAGCTTTTTGTGGGTGGGGGTGTTTGGATCTGGGGGGAGCTCTGGCCGTGCAGTTTTAATGCTGACTTCTTGCCCAAGGCAAAGAGAACTTATCTCTGAAAGGAAAGACGTGGTTTCTCCCCCAGCTAAACAGGCGGACAGCAGCATCCTGGCAGAAACAAGGCCTCTGCAGCTCCTGGCCAGCTGAGGAACTCAGGTCAGGCAGCACCTCTCAGTTACCACGCGTGACTGCGAGCCAAGGCAGTCTCGCTCAGATCAGCCACCTTCCCTTCCTACCAAACACACCTGAGAAGATATGAAAGGACTCGCCGTTGGAGAGCAGGGCTTGCCAAGCTGGCAAGCTGCCTGCTGCGAGCAAAATATAAAGAGCCCAATGCACTTGAATACAAAATTGAAAGACTCGATTAAGTCAGAGCTTCTGGGGGGCTAATTTAGGTGTTGGGAGGGAGGTAGTAGCTCAGTCAGCCCTTCTGCGTGGGCCACCCCGGGCTGGTGGCCTGGGAGCTCCCCAGAGTAGCAGGATGCTGCTGAGCAATAAGGCAGCAAGAGTTTATTTTCAGGAAACCTCTGGCAGACCCCACCCTACCAGGAAATACAAGCAAACAGGTTTTTTTACTTGTAAAGCTGGGGTTGAACCTGCCTTTCTAACCAGCTGGCTACTCACAAGCATAGTGAAAGCTGCTACACGCTGCTTCCTTTTCCCCTTTCCCCTGAAAAATGGATGCTACAATCTATCTTATGGAAATCATTATCAACTATACCGTAACACTGTGTATAACGTTCCTAGCTGGAGTTGTGCTTTCAGTACTCTTTCTAAAGGAAAGAAAAGAAGAGTTATAAGAGGAGGGAGGGGGACAGAAGACAGTCGGAGAACAACAAGCTGATACTTTTCTCATCAGCTGCTCCGCTAGAACAGAGGGACCTCCTGGCGGGAGCACCAGAGAGATGGGTGCTTGGCTCAGCTCTCGTAGCGCAGCACACAGCTCTCCCCAGCACAAGAGCAGTGAAAAGCAGGAAGGTAAGATGGGAGTTGCCTTTCCAAGATTTGCCATCAGGGTTTCTTTTGGCACAGACTGAATAAACTCTGTGCCACTCCATCTTGGTCTCCAAATTTGGCTTTCAAGAGCAGAAGCAGCAGAGCGTGTTGCTAACATGGGCAATTCCCTCCCAGCTCATCCTGCAGCGCAACCTTACATCAGAGTGTGTGGGAACAGCTGGGAGCAGAACAAGCTGGCAGAGGCAAGCACTACCCAAAATAGGTGCTGGAGGCCCGCTTCCTTCCTCAGTGCTCTGCAGGAGATGTGGAGGGTTAACGTGAGCTAGGCTGAGTTAGCCTAACTGTTAGCATAAGCCCACAAACTTCTGCTGTAGCAGAAAAAGATGAAAAATGGTCAAGCCACCTGTCCCAGACAGGATAGCTTTTGTGTGCTCAAGAAAACAGATAGCCCAGGATCCAGGCCTATCTCCCAAAGCTCCAGGGAACACAGGGAGCAGAAAAGAGTCCAGGAAGCCTCACAAGCCTGTGCAGGACTACGCCCAAAAAGGCGGGTACCACCACACCAACCTGCCCAACCTCTCCGCAACTGCGCTGTTCCTCGCACAGAGCAAGGTTGCATAACAAAGCACTGTGGAGACCCGCTGGCTCATCTCCCTCACTGCATTGTCTCACCTGCAGGACGGGACAGTTGCCTAATCTGAAATCTAAGTGCTTTGGTAGCCCGATCCATTTAGCTTTCACACTGTCATTTGGTCTTAAGACAAATTTTCTCTGAATTTTCTCAGTTAGCACACTGACTGCAGCAACAGTTGGTAGCGGAATGGGGATGGGATGAGATACCAGACGCTTAATAGCAACAAGTACCTAAAACCCAAGATGCCTGCTCTTCAGATAGCACACAGACAAGTGCACAGCGTGCCATTACCCCTGCTGCCTGGCAGGTCCATTTGGGGAAAACGCTTTTTCCCAATAAACATCAGGAGCAAACTCCAGCCACTTTTGCCGTTAACAACTGGGATAAAACCCCAATGTTTTCTACAAGCAGAGGGAAGGTAAACTGCTGCTCTGCGAGTGGCGTTTGTATCGCTCAGCTGCATGCAGCCTCACAACCCAACTTCAGGACCAAGACTTCCTTCCCAGCACTAAGAGGACAGCCCACGCTACATCCCAAGCTGGTGGCCTTGGGGTACTGCAGAGTCTGCACGGTACAGCCCAAGCGGGAGCTCCCACTGAGGCCCAAGAGCTCCGCACTCTCCCAGGGCCTCATACAACGCTCAAAGAAACGAACAGCAGCACTGCACCGTTTGGAAGAGCTGGCAGAGTTCATGCCCACAGATGCCTGCTCTTGCTAGCACCTCTGCCAAATGGATTTATTTGGTTTGCCAAGACATTTGCAGGGGGTTGACAGGACAAGAGATTGCCACATAGGCTGATCCACCGTGTCAGCCACTTAGAAAACACTGCGAGCCAAGTAAGCTAAAACTATTAGAAAAAAAAAACAAAACAAAACCAACTTTATTTACACTGAAGAGCATCCAGCAGGACCCTCCCTCTCCCAGCCAAATATGCACGCACACCGACTTCTCCCTTCCCTTACATCTGCCGCAAGCTGGGAGTCCTGCTGCCGCACCTCATCTCTCAGTGCTCTATCCGGACCACCATGACCGTGACATTGTCTGCTGACCCTCGCTGTACTGCCTTGCTGGCCAGTCTGTTACATGCAGCTTCATATCTAGCGTCTGCTTCTAGCTTCCCTTCTCTCATCTGGATGTTCTTATCCTGTTGGGACAAGGAAGAACAATGCTGAGTGCTCCCAGAGAAGCATGTAGGTGCAAGAACACAGTAATTTCTCAGCATGGGGAAGCAAAACAAATAAGGACAACCTCAGGTATAAGGGAGGATACCCGTGCAGAAGTACGTTTCTGCAAGCCAGAGTCACTACATTTCATGTCCCTCGCACATGACAAACCCAGCCCCCATGCTGCCTTCTCCTCACCTCCAGGCAGGATACAATGAAGTTCACAGCTTCTTCTGGTGTAAAGACTTTAAAGAGACCATCACATGCTATCAGAATGAACCTGGAAGTCAAGCAGAGACAGGTTCCAAGGCTGAATCTTTGGCTCCCCACCTCCAGCAAAATTCCTCCAAGCTAGTTTATGAGTACCCACACTCCAATCCAAAGGGAAGATGCCATAAAGCTCATCTGAAAATCCCTTGCAAGCACCAGAAGTCCTCTGGTGCTCCAGAACCTACCATTCATGGAGCAGAGACAATTCAAAGCACAGGCCAAAGAGCCAGGCAAACAATGTAAGACATCCTGGCAGTCCTACTGACCATTAGGCAAGACAACATACCACACCCTGCTGGAAAGCTCTATTATTTCTCTAGGAGCTGCTGCTTTCCTTTTGAGTCATTTTCATTCACATATTTTCCCTGTGGAGTAGCTAATGCAAGAAAATAGAGAAACACAGTCAGCTTAATACCTTATGTGCATCCCTTTAAATTCTTTACATTTCCATGCTCCCGAGGTATGCGACAATTTAAATAGAAACATTCAAAAGAAAAGCGAGCAGCGTAACCCAGCAATAGAGGCATAACTGTGATCAGAAAACTCTGCAGAAGGATGAGGGGATATAAAGCCCAAGGCAAGGAGAGCTCCCCACCAGAGGATGGGGCACACAGCCTGCTGCACGCTCCCTCCCTGCACAGGGGACTGTATTAACTGGGAGCCCTAACTGGAGTCACCGGACAAGGAAAACTACAGCTATCCCGCAGAGGTGGCCAGCCTGTCAGAGCAGCACATGTCTCTTGAAGACATCGTTTCAGAGCCTGATGCTCAGAATATCTTTAGAAATATTTTAGTGGATCACTTGATACAGAACTGTAATCCCAGAAAAAGCAGCAGTACTGGGTTACATTCTCACCTCAAAGAGCCTGCAGGGCCATACTGATATGAAAGCTCACAACAGTTTGTCATTGCCAATCAAACGGTAGAAAAGTATCTCAAATCTTCAAGTATCAGAGCCAAATGCAGCAGCATTTGTGGGCACTATGGGTACTAGAAACAACCCTTGGACAGGATAGGGATCCAAGAATTCAAGTCTTAACCAACTGCTTGAACACTGGTGTGTGAACTTCTTCAGAGCATGAAGGAAGTCTAAGACTCGTGTATGTTATCACTGCTGCGAGGCTGGCTTCTCCAAGAGGAGCTTTTGCAGTATCTTGGCAGAGTGAGGCAGCAGCGTTATCCCACTATATCGATAAGGAACAGGAGCAGAAAGACATCAGCAGTAACAGCATCCTCTAATTCTGGGTGATCCGTCTGAAGTGCCTTGGCCCTAACAGCTGAGCATACAGGGTCGTCCAGCTTCTGCTACTTCTGCTGAGCAGAGCTAGCACACAGCCAACCCCCTTGTGCGTGGGCATGCTTTACCTGTCATTGTGTGTGAGTTGGCAGCGTTTGATATCTGGCACAGAGATGACACCACAGCGTTTGTACTGGCCATCCCCAATGGAGCGGGAAACCTCCAGCACTCCTAGGACTCTTCCGTCCCTGGACAAGGAAAGAAAACATTTGAGAGCCCTCCCCACATGCAAATCTCACTGTGTTGCCTGGGTATGTTCAGCTGCCTCGTACAAATCCTGACCCACTTGTCCAGCAAGTTCAAATCTTCCCTTCAGAGTCTCCTTCCCTTTCTGCATGTTTGTGTGAAGCTTTGGGAAACAAGTGGAGAGGGGTAGCAAGGAATGAAGTCAGGAGAATTCAAGGCTGTTTTCCATCTCCCTGCCCTGACTAAAGTCCTCCTTAGCCTAGCGAGCCAGGGAAGTAAGAGTTATATGCTGAGTGAACTCCTGGAGGCGGAGGCTTGAATTCGCAGATTATTTTTGGTAAGCTATCTAGCAAACTGCATTTCAATAGCAGTACAGAGTGACAGCAGCCAACGCTAGGTCTGAACCAGCAGCCCCTCCTGTGCTGTGCCTATCAGGACACCAACTCCCATAGAGCAAGAACCACGGCACTCTCTCCTGACCACTTGGTCTTTACTAACCACTGATCGCAGCAACCACTTCTGTTACAATCCTCCTTAGGAAGCAGTTTTGTTTGCTAAACTGTTCTAATTAACTGAGTGCTGCCTCAACAGAGGCAGCTTCCCACACTCCACCTTTCCAACAATTAAGTATCTTCTCCCCCAAAAGGCTCTTCTGGGCACTCTGGAAAGACACAAGCTTGTTCATCTCGTAGTCCAACCAGCCCCGCTTGAGATAAAAGCGAGAAGCGAGGCACGTCACAGAGAAGAGAGATCTGATGCTCACGCACTTTGCAACTTATCTCTTGGGTCCAAAATATTGAACTACAAGCAGTGGGAGAGGCTCCCAGGCGGCAGCCAGGGAGATGTTCCCCCAGTTCTGAAAAAAAGCTAACAGACACTGGCCTGTCTCTTTCCTGCATGCAAAGATAGACCAGTGCTGAGCTTAAGCAGCGGCATGTGCTCTCCAGAGATAAGGGGAACAAGGCCCTCCAGACATGGCAGCGTAACAGAACTGAGCCCACTCCTCCCCACCCCAGGGGGCATTCTGCCTCCTCAGGCACCGAGATATTTCACCTGCACGGAGTCCTTTCTTCTGAGGATGCCACTAAATCAAGGAACAGCCTTCAAAGAAGGGAGAGAACCTAGCCAGGGAAATCAGACACAACTGCCCAGACAGGCATGCATACCTGCATGCACAGGAACATTAAGAAATCCTGCTGTGGCTCCAGAAACCTCCTTCCTACTGCAGACCACCTCAGGGCATCAGCTAATCCCCAGGGGAGCAACACTGACTGACATCAAGGGCTTCTTGTGCCCTCTCAAACCATCCCCCTTCTTACAGGACAAGGAGGGAGAGGTGATACTGCAAGCAAGGAAATGAGTTCTGTTCAATGCCACAGTTTGCAGGAAGTGACAACTTCTTAATCAAGTCTACCTCCGTAGGTCAAGTTTAAGCACATCCATGCTTGCATCACACTGTCAGGCTTTCACGTGGGTTCCCGCCTTCGCGGCACAGCACCCTACTGCAGTTGTAAACCCCTGGGAAGCCAGCCCCCATCAACCAGCTGAAGCCACTGAATCCTTAGACATCTCGAGCACCACTGTGCCTCCCACAGGCCGCAACAGATTCTCTCCAGGCTCTCACTAGCCTGATTGCTGGGCTCAGGAAACTCCAGAAGCTCAGGCCCAAAGTTGAGCCAGGGTTTAGATTTTCTCACTCACACCCTTTAGGCACTTACCTGACATTTCCCCCAGCTTTCTGTATCCGCATACGCTCCTCATACTGGGTGGGGTTGTGCTCTTTACTGAGGCTTAAAGCTGCATGTTTCTGACTCTCTTCATTATAACGACACAGAATCGCCTGTGCTGACAAAAGACCCTTGTGAGTAAACAACAACAAAACTGCAGCAAGAAGAACTTCTTGAGAGAGAGCTGCACGTTGTAGTGCTTGAGGCTACATCTGGCTGGTGACCAGTCACCAGC